TCTTTCTGTGCCTTAGTCCCGCCTCCTGTCGCTCTGATCCCCACTTCACATCTCCTCCATCCTCCTCTCTGCACGCCTCTGCCTTGTCCTTCTGCCTGCTTCTCCTTATCGCTCTTACGCTGTCAGTGTTTCCCTGCGGGTCTCTCCGGGTGCTCTGTACTTCATCCTTCCACACAGTGGATGATTCCTGGACTTGTCAGGGTCCTAAACTCTCCCCATGTTCCCCTCCCAGAGATGAGCTGCATCCTACATTCAACAACCTACGAGGTGGCTATGAAGAGGATCAGGTTCCTGCAGAGTCACATCTATGGAAGTGGGTTTGCCTAAGATCCCCCCTTCATTTTGAGTCTGGCAGCCCCCAAAGGTACCCACATTCTCACTAGAAGTGGAGTGAAGCAGGTGGCCCTTCTTGCCACATGCTAACATGGGGACATGGAGAGGTGACATACGTCACCTGTAACAGAACCAGAGGCCAGGAGAACAGTGGTTTGGGACTCATAGACTCAAACTTTCGGTCTCAGAAGGGCCCCAGATCATGACAAGCACTGGGTAAATAATATCCATCCCTGGGCCTCAGTTTCCCCAGCTACACAGTAAGGGGTGGGCATCTGTTGATCTTTAAGAGCTTGCCCAGTTCAGAAACTTGAAATGCAGGACTTCTGTAAAGCAGAAATCCAGGCTGTGCTTTCAGAGATTCAAGAGAGGGCATGAGCGGCAGACCTGTCTCCTGTCGGCAGTCACCAGGTGTGGGCATCCAGGCGGGGGCACGAGGTGGGGCTGACAAAGCAGCGTGGGGATTGTCACAGAGCAGAGTCTGTAACTGGGAGAGGGTTTGCACTCCCAGGCCAGGCCAGGCCGTTGTCAGGAGATGGGACATATGGGAAGATGACTGGGTACTCTGGAGGGCTGGACCAGAGATTCCGGGAGGGGGCGGGGAGAGGAGGAGGGGCAGGAAAGAAATGACAACAGCCTTTGGTGCTGAAGAACCATGCAGGCCTGCCTTCTGGAGCCTGAAGGACAGAGGAGCCCCAGCGCCCCCTTATCTGGGGCTCAGGAAAGGAGACTTTTGAAAGAGATAAATTTAGACTCATTAGAAGCCACTCACCTTCCCACAGAGGGAAGGCGACCGCCTGAGCATGGGCTCCAAGTGGCGACATGGTCTGGGGACAGAAATAATTGCAAAGAAAGTTTAACTGAAGCCAAGGATGAGTGAGCTGGTGAAATGGGCTATTCTAATATAATGGGAGTCTAGGGAGTTCCCTGAATCTGGAGGCTGTTGTCAAAAGAGAAGAGTGTGATCTGTTCAATATACTCCCTTCCACAAGCAAATCAGGGTGGACTGGCCCTAGCTATTCAGGGATAACCTAAGACTGAATGGCAAGGAACAATAAACAGAGTGTTTGAGGCAGAAGGAAGACTCCTGATGGGGCTAAAATTCCGTGTGAGCCCAGAAACTCCCAGATCAGCCTTCAAGGAGCCAAGCTCTCTCTTATCAACCAGTCTATTGACAGGGGGAAGGCAAGCCTGCTGGATCATCAGGAGATCTGAGTTCACAGGCCAGTTCTCAAATGACTTGCCTTGTGACCTTAGTGAAGGCCCTTTCCCACATGCAAACGAGATCCCGAGATTCCATGATGCCCCCTCAGTATCCAGTACCTTACTTCCCAATCTGTGTCCTTCATTTGGACCAAGCTAATCTTCAACCTTGAGAGTGGGAACTCATGGATTTGATCATTTATCACATGCCAGTCACTCTGATAGTTGCTGTGGGAAATCAAACTACATAAAACAAGTAATGTGCCCATATCACAGTGACTGGGATATGGTAAAACACCACAGTTAAAAGATGAGGCAGAAAGACTCTGCTGGCCATGAATAGGGCTGGATTTTGGAGCTGGGTCAGTCTGGAGATTTGCGTTCCTATCTTTCCCTCTTCTCTCATTTATCAATATATCCAGGCTTCTGCGTGTTCCTTCCTGAACATGAAAATGACTACAGCTCTTTTCCCTCCCAGGAAGCACTATTCTTTGTCATCACTTCAAACTCTAGTTCATAGGCTTTGTTCTTAATGAAGCCTTTTATTATTCCTTCTAAATTCTTTTGAAAGTCTTCAGATGGGAACTCTGAAAACCACTGGCATTCCCCGGAATATATCTTTGCAAATTCAATTTTCACATATTTGCTTTCTAATTGTGTGGGTGTCTTCTTGCACATTTGTAGATTCCTATCTTGAAGGTGAGGGGCAGTTGATTTCTTCCTTTTGATTCCAGGCAGCAATATTCTACCCATCATCATGCTTAACACAGGTTTAATAGTCTACTGTTAAAATGATAGAAAATCAAGATTCTAGAATCTCAGAATTGAGTAGCTCATCCAGATTGCCTTTAACTATCTGTATCTCGCAGGGTTTTTCTGATCGAATGCCATCCGTCTTTGCTTGAGCATCTGGGTGATAGAAAGAACATTACTGGGAGTCGGAGAACTCAATCCCGCCATTAAATTGTTGTGAGACTGCCAGTCACTTTTGTCACCCTCAACCTCACCCTTTGCTTGTAACTGCTCCCTGGCCCTTGTCCATTATCCCTTTCAAATATATTGCCAAATATCCTGTCTCAATTTTGTTTCCATCATCCTGACTTGAAGTTGCTAACATTCTCATGTGGCTTCTAGACACCTAATTCACCCCATTCCACTGTCTCCCTTTCCACTTTCATTGCAATCTACTCCCTGCACAGCTACCATAAAGTTGAAAAAAAAAAATGTAATGCAATCATGATACATGCTCCTTATTTATCCATTTAAGAGTTTTCCTCTTTGCTGTTAGAATAAAGCCTTGGCCTGCAAGACCCCCATGATCTGCCATTGCTGACCACTCTGCCTTCACCTCTCACTATTCCTCCCCTACTTTCTCAGCTTCAACCACACCAGATTCTTCATTTCCTGAAGTCAGTCAAGTTCCTTTCCCTCTTAGAACATCTGTCTCTGCTTGAAAACTTTTCCAGTGCTAACTCCCACTCATTTTCCAGGTATTAGTTAAATAACACTTTCCCTGGAAACTAGATGGTGAGCCTTATTATTGCTTTCTAATCCAATAGATGCACCCACCCCTCACTCTCTCCAACTAAATTGGATCCCACTGTTAATTGATTTCCTGGAACACTGTATCTTTATTTCATAATACCTGCTACAAATTAAGTACTTAAGGTTGTATGCCACACACACACACACACACACACACACACACACGCGCGCACGGTATCTAAACACTGCAAGGTCTAAAGCCATTTTTATCTCATTTCCCATTGTAACATGGTAGGTGGGATACTGCAGATGCTCAAAAGCACGTGACAGCTACATAGATGAATAGTTTAAGGAGTTCACATTTTCATTCTAGTTCTATAAAATGGGAAGTGATGTGATATGTTGGATTAGAAGATAAGACCAGGGCTGGGAAGTCAGTCAGACATACATCTGAATCCTTACTTTCCCTCTCACTAGACTGAAAAAGTCAGTTTACCTCTCTGTTATTGAAAATTTAACTGTAAAATGGAGGCCATGGTATCTCAAAGGGTTTTAATTGTGAAACAGTAATTGCACTGTCCTGGCTCTTTAACTTCCCATAAAGGGGATTTGGGAAAGTCACTTAACACTACCACTTCTTATCTGTATAAAGAGGATGACAACAGCCTCTACTTCACAGGGCCATTGTGAGGATGACATAAATCAGTGGATGGAAAGTGCTTAGAATGCCCACAGCATATCCTAAATTAATGCTTGTGGCTATCATTATTATTAAAATACTTAGTAAAGAGCTTGACACATTCATGTCCAACATGTTCATTCATGTCCAACTCTTTGCGACCCCATTCCCACCAGGCTCCACTGTCCATAAGATTCTCCAGGAAGGAATACTGGAGTGGGTTGCCATTTCCTACTCCATGACATACAGTATTTCTTAATAAACAGTAGCTAGTATTACCACTCCTACTACAATCAACAATTATTAATTATTTGGCAGGATGAGGATGATTCTGATGGTGATGTTTCTTACCAGTTCTGACTTCTGTTGCCATGACTGCAAATGATAGGTGAAGCTTTCTTTGTGATAATATCCTATTACATTTTTATGCAAAACTGTCTAAAAGTACATATATATTTTTTAAAAAGACAAACATTTCTTACGTATGGAACAGTTCTCAGTTCTTCTCATGGTATCATCTCATGGCTTTCAGATTTTGAGACACAAATAAATCCCACCGAAGGCCTCTCATCTCCGGACAGAACAGCCCCAATTCCTTCAACTCTCCCAGGAAGACTTTCCCAATTAGACTGCATGTCTAATCTTCATGTAATTTGGACAACCCAGTTGCTTTCCTGTTTATTCTCATATGAGAGTACCCTCATCTTTTAATTTCGCATGTATGTCTGTATTTATTAACAGGGAAAGAGGTATTTGACATACCAGTGAGAAAAAAATAGCAATTTCTAAACAGCTTTACTGAGAGTTGGCATGTTGGTATGTTTGTCTACTCACTGATATACAGATAGAGAAAGAGAGAGGGGTGTTTTAAGAATGTTCAAGAATATATTAATTCTGGCTATTTCTGGGTGATGGGAATTTTATTTTCTACTTCATTGAATGTCTTTATTTTTGAACTGCCTGAATAGCCTACATAAGATACTTACTTTTTAATAGATGGAAAGATTAATTACACTAAAAATTCCATTAACTATAGTTATAGGATGATTTAAGATTGAAATTAAAGTATGTGGAGAGTTAGAAAATGGGAGGATGGGTAGACAAAGGCCTCGGTCAGTGGAAAAGAACTTCAGAGAATAGACTTTGCTGACTTCTGACACTTTGTGCACTGGCGCTTGTGAGTCTAGGAGATACTGACCAGTATACCAGACCTCTATCCCATGGTACCCATGGCTTCCTCCCCCTGCCAAGATTCTGGGTCAGCAACTCAACCAGTGAAGTGCAGACATCAGCCCCATACCTAAAGGTCATCTGGAAGACTTGGCCTTGGTTCACGTGCTGGGTCCGGTTGTTGTAACCATGTAGCATCTCTCCAAAGAGGGTGTCGTTGAACTTGGAGTCAGGCTTGAGGCACTTGGGGCCCTCGCAGACATCTGAGAGCATGAGGCAGGACTTCCCATCAGGGGCCAGCTTGTACTCCTCCACACAGCTGCGTGATAAAACAGGGCCGAGAGTTAGCTGGCACGCTGGATGCCCCTACTGGGAGTGACCTAAAACCCAAGCCTCTTTTGCCTGCAAAACAGGTCAGAGTTTAGGAATGGAAACAGCTATGCTGGCTGGAATCTATCTAGGGCACAGGTGTCTAGAGAGAAGCACATTAATCCTGCAAATTGGTAAATTCAAGGAAAGTCATTTGTGACACTTTGGAGGAGTCGAGGGGTACGCCAGAGAGCACATCCACGCACAAAGCAAATTTAAAAACTGTTTTCCATGAACACACAAACCTTAAAAAGCATGACAGACCAATTTGCAGGGAATTATCAACTAGTTTCTCAAATCAGAATCTATTCCCAGTGCATCTGTCGGCCAAGGTTGAAGACTGCAGCAAAAACAAGGTTTTCGTTGCCCTTGTTGAGCAAAGGTGATAGTTCCAGGACCATGGACAGCGCACAGAGCAGCCCACAACTTCTGTGCAATTAGCAAAGTTAGCAGCCTCTGCTGACGTCTACCTACCTACTCCTGACAGCAGACGGGTCCTGGCGTGCCTTTGAAACAGGGATGGGCTCCTTGGTGGCCCAAATGGGCATCTGAATAGGGTGTGGAAAAATATTTGCAATGTGGGGTGTTTATAGAGTGGAAAATAAATCTCCTAAGAGAGATAGGGGAAAACAGAAAGCAGAGGCCCTAGCTTATGAAAAATCAAATGAGAAACTGAAATCCTTTGAGTATCTACCTACCCACGGTCCTTTTCTGGGCACTATGAGTAGGGTGAACATACTACGACACACAAGAAAACAGGCTGCATGCCTGAAGGTAGATTAAATAGGCATCTTTGTCCCTTGTGATGTGTGTGAAGCCAGGCAAGTCATTTTACTTCTTTGCTTTCTAGTTTCCTCATATGTAAAAGGGGGTTAACACTGCTATCCTGCATCACTTCACGAGGCTGCTGTGACGTTCCATGACACACAGACTGCATGAACAGAAATTGCAGTATACTTTGACAAAATAATTACAGAGAGGTTGTAATGGTGGTGATGGTGATATTTACTTATTGAACCTATGTGATTAACTAGGCACTTTGTAAGTTTATTTTTATCACAATGAAAAAGGTAGCATCATCATTCCTGCTTTACAGAGGAGCAAAACGAGGAGCCAAAAAAATCAAGCAAGTCACACCATAAGTGTCAAAAGCGGCATTCAGAATCAGGTCTGTTCAGCAACAAAGTCATCTTTTTTCTCCACTTGTCTTTTCCAAATCCAGTTGTTCCTATTTGCATGGCATGACCCTGGTTAGGTTCTGCTGGCTGGAGGCAGCAGGAAGCAGGCAGTCTCTTATCTGCCTTTCTTCCATGGGAGTGAAGCTCTGTAGAATCTGACTGCAAAAAGACTCATGTGGGAGAAGGGAGAGACTTGGTTTGAGAAAGCAGTGTAGCCAGGATGCAGGAACCAGTGACTGATGCTAGAGACACAGAACCCAGCTGAAGGCAGGAGTAGGCAGGCAGAGCTGAAAACACAATCCCAGATCACTCCATTTGAAAAGTCAGGAATATTGTGTATTTGACACAAGCTGACACCCTCTCCTTGTTTTCCTCTAGCCCCTGGCATTTATGGATACATTGCGGGCCTTTCCACTGTTTACATGCTCCTGCACAAAGTACAGTGGAACGTTCTCGGAAGGAGACCTGTTCTGGTACCTTGGTCAAGTCTGTCCTGTCTTCATTTTGCATCTATTAACATATGCAACTCTCCCCTCATAAAGTTGCAGTACAGATAAAGTGAGTTATATAAATGTGCAGATATATGGTAAGGACTCAACAAAGTCTAGTTCCACACATTTATTCCAAAAAGTTCCTAGCAAATATGGGAAATTATTTACTCGATATATCTCACACTCCTCTTTCTCTCTTACACACACATATACACACATGCAGCCATGAGTAAACACATGGTTGTAAAAGATTAGATATTATCAAAGCTTATAGAGTAAAACATAGAAGTTCTTAATTTCCCATTCCACACATATTCTTGCTTCCTGTTCCAGTGGTCATCATTGTTAATAATTATATATTCTCATGGGGTCTTTTCAATGTATTTAAAGATACACATAATACACATTGTATTTTTATAATAAAAAATACCTTATGTTTATTTATTATATCGTACATTTTGCTATATATATAACTTTTTCATAATAACCTCATAAACAGAAATACCCCTATATGTTGTTGTGAGATACACATTTGCACCTAATATAATTTCTTAGAGATCTTTTCAAATCAGTATCTGTATAGATCTATCTTTTTAATAACTCTTTGGCATTGCACAGTATAAATGTACCATAATGATTTTACCTAATGTTTATTGATAGACATTTCGGTTGTTTATATTTGTTTGTTAATGCTGTCATGATAAAGAATTATATATATATATCACTATGCACCTTTGTGTTTCTATAAAACAGATTCTTAGAAGAGTAATTGATGGGTCAATGTTTTATGAATTTTAAAACTTTGATAGATCTACTAAATGACTATCTGGAGAGGCACGACCTACAACCCTATCATTGATGAATGAGAGAACCCACTTTCCCACATCTTTCATGTTCATTACTACCAATCTGGGATGGCTAAAGATAAATCATTTTTGTTTGTGGATTTGCATTTTCCTGATTACTGGTGGATCTCACCATATTTTCAGGTCATGGCCACTTGCATTTCTCATTCTGTACACTATCTATACGCCTTGACCATTTCCCTACTGTGATACTCATTTTTTTTTTTCTTATTGGCTTATACATGCTTGGCATATATTCTCAATAGTTACCTTTCACCTTCCAAATATACTGAAATTTTCTTCCAGTCTGTATTTGTATTTTACTCTTGCTTTTGATGTCTTATAACCTCTTTATCCTGGTCTTTTATTGCTTTTGAATTTTGTGTGATGCTTAGGGAGCCACAAAGATGAAAAAAAAAAACATTTTCCTCTATATTCTTCCAGTATTTATACAGCTTTTTCATCTTTGGTTATTTAATCTGTGTGGAATTTATTTTTGCGCATGGTGGGAGTGATTAGTTTAACTTAATTATTTTGTAAATGGGTAGATGACTATCTGAAGGAGCCATCCTTTCACTAAGTAGTTTTAAATGCCATTCTGTCATGTACTAAATCCCTATGTATACCATGTATACATGGTTGGAAATTTTAATTATCTGTATATTTTCATAATAATGCTGCACTATTTTAATTAATAGAGCTTTATCACATGTTTTGAATGTAGCAAAGTAAGTCTTCTCTTCATAAACACTAATTTTCTATTTCAAAATTTCCTCACTGTTCCTACTCATTTTTCTCTTAAGATAAATTTTAGAATTGGCTTGTCAAATTCCCACATAAAACTTTACTGGAATTTTCTGTGGTTCCAAATTGAATTTGTAGACTAAATGAGGTTATTCAGTCACTAAGTCCTGTCCAACTCTTTGCAGCCCCATGAACTGCAGCTTGCCAGGCTTCCCTATCCTTCACTGTTTCCCAGAGTTTGCTCAAACTCATGTCCATTGAGTCAGTAAGACTATTCAACCATCTTGTCCTCTGTTGTCCCCTTCTCCTCCTGCCCTCAATCTTCCCCAGCATCAGGGTAGGGTCTTTTCCAATGAGTCAGCTCTTCACATCAAGTGGCCAAAATATTGGAGCTTCAACTTCAGCATCAGTCCTTCCAATGAATATTCAGGGTTGACTTCCTTTAGATTGACTGGCTTGCTCTCCTTGCAGTCCAAGGGACTCTCAAGAGTCTTCTTCAGCACCACAGTTCAAAAGCATCAATTCTTCAGCACTCTTCTTTATGGTCCAACTCTCATCACCCATACATGACAACTGGTAAAACCATAGCTTGACTATATGGATGTTTGTCGGCAAAGTGACGTTTTTGCTTTTTCAAACACTAAGTTTATCATAGCTTTCCTTCCAAGGAGCAAGGATCTTTTAATTTCATGGCTGCAGTCACCATCCACAGTGATTTTGGAGCCGAAGAAAATAAAATCTATCACTGTTTTCACTTTTTCCTCTTCTATTTGCCAAGAAGTGATGAAATCAGATGCCATGATCTTAGTTTTTTAACATTGTGGTGACGGGGCTTATGTAACTGAATGAAGCTATGAGCCATGCCATGCAGGGCCACCATGCCATGGTCGACTACAAGGGAATGGCAAATCACTCCAGTCTTCTTGCCACAAGCATCCCATGAACAGTGTGAAAAGACTAAATGAGGGGAAGTTGTTGATTTTTTTTTCCCTTTAAGATATATTCATTGAAAGTCACCTCTGTACTAGACACTGTCAACAAGTATGAGAGTTGATGTCTCACGTTTACCACACTGGATCCTCTTTGTGGAAGCCCTGCAGACTATGCATCTAAGCTGCCCTCACATTTGGGTTTCAGGAACCATGTGCAGGGATTCCAAGAGATGGAGTCTGTATAGATGTGATGTAAGTCTCTGTCAGCCCCCGCCCTCACAAACACCCTGTGTGATTCTCAAGCCCGCTCTTCCCTAGCTATGGAACGCTTGGAGAACATGTGTTCCAGATCCATACTGCAAGATGGAAGACGGCTGCCTTAATTACAGTGGACCTCATGTCAACCAGAAATAAACTTTTGAGTGCAATCTTCTGGTTTGGGAATCATTTGTTGCAGCAACATAGCATATCTTATCTTTACTGACTGCTGTGGCAGCTTTACAGTCGGGAGTCTTCTAATTCAGAAACACAGTTGGAGTTTTCATTTGGCAAATGTTCTTCTAAAATCTTCACTGAAGTTTTAGACTTTTACCCATAAAAATCTTGCACAGATGTGTTGCTCAGTCATCAAGTTATGTCCAACTCTTGTGACACCGTGGACCATAGCGCACCAGGCTTCCCTGTCCTTCACCATCTCCCAGAGTTTGCTCAAACTCATGTCCATTGAGTTGGTGATGCCATCCAACCATCTCATCCTCTG